TTCTCGTACTCGCTGTTCCGTCTTCGCAACTGTTGGAGAAATGAAGGAGTTAGCCGTGGAAGACCAGATACGTGATTGGTTACCCAGGAGTGAAGGTGTTGAACAACACTAATAATATAATATTTTACACGTAAAGATATGAATAAGAGATAATTAAGACAAAATACAACAACAAATATATTTATTAAATACTTAAAATACACGATAAAAAGAGAGAACACGAAAAACTGTACAGACAGCAGACAACTGACTCACACGAGCAGGGAGAGGGGAAAGAGGAAGAAGAAGAGGACGGTGATTGCGTTCATTACCTCATCTTCCAGCAGCTGTATCTTCCCGTCTTTCTCCTCCAACTGCGCCCGCATCTATTGTGGAAAGAGAGAAGGAGAAGAAGGTAGTCAATGAACAACTGTCATCGCTGGTGTATTCGATGTATGCATACAACTGGGTCTAATTACAAACGCCCACCACGCACGAGAGAGAGAGAGAAGAAAGGTGATAATAAATATGGCGGTGATAATGAGAGAGCGAGAGAGAAGAGAGCGTGCGGTGGGCGACCGACCGAACGAAGAACGTTCGGTCAGATCAGATGGTCCGCTTGAATTTGGAGAGCAGCGCGAAGGCCGCGTGCGAGAGCGATTGCGAGAGCGAAGGACCCAAGGCCGCGGCCACCCTTCCCACTATCTCCTCCGCCTCCACCTCTCGGAGCCTTGCAGGTTCATCGGGCACGAGACCCTCCCCGGCTTCGTCCTCTTGCTCGCAAACCGTCGCCTTCTTCGTCTTCATCCTTCTCCTCTTTCTCAGCTCCTTCTCCTTCTTGCTTCGCCGCCTCTTCGCCTTCGCTTTCGCTCTCGCCTCGTCCTCCTCGCTGTCGCTGTCGCCCCCCACGCCGCGCAGGAGACGGTCCGAGTACTCGAAGCGGGACCGAAATTCGGGGGTGGCCTCTTCGCTCTCGCTCTCGCTCTTCGCGTTGTTGAGGTAGTGGTGGTGATAGACCAGATAGGAGGTGGAGGTGGCGGTAGAAGTGGAGGAGGAAGAAGAGGAGGATGGGTAGCCACGGACCTCGGTTCCCTTCCGCTCCCTCTCCTCCCTCGCGCGCTGGAGCTCCTCTCGCACCGTTCGTAGCTCCTCGCGCAGCTGGGAGACCTCCTCCCGGTACTTGCCGATGATCTCCTCGCCCTCCGTGCCCTCTCGGCTCTCGTCCTCGCTGTACATGCCCTCGGTCGCCGTGTCCTCGTCCTCGCTTCTGAACGACGATGATGACGTCAGCAGCGGGTTGTTGCCGCCCGACGACGACGATGACAGCGAGGGTCCCGTGTACCGGACGTGCGCGGCCTTGGATCGCTCCTTGGCCTTGGCTGCGATCACTGCGCCGCTGCTGGTGAGCTCCATGTTGAGGCTCCGTCGCTTGGTGACGTCCCGCATGCGTGCGTTGGGTCCCTCCTCGCCGCGCCCGCGCGGCGTGGAGATGGGCGACATGGCGGGCGAGGCGAGCGCGCTGCTGCCCTGTCCGTTCCGGTAGGCGTCGTCGTCGCCCTCGGTGGTGTCGCCCTCCGAATCGGACTCGAGGTAGGCC